AAAAAAATGAGTTTAAATTCCTGTGGTGCCAGGCAGGCAATCAAGACTGGAAACAAAGAGTGACATGTCACAGCTGTGCCTCCTCTTTCTACTCCTCCAAAGGCATCCAGGATTTTATTGACCCAAGTGGCCAGGATCACTGTCTAGCTCTATTTTGGGGCATGGCAACCACAGATTAGCTCTCCAGGGAGGTGTGGAGAGCCAAGATACATACCCAGCCTTCTCTTGGAAGCTTACATGGTAAAATGTGAACGAGGCAAGGTCTGTCCTCAAAGTCTGCAGCTCACCCTTTCTGTAGCTGTTCTTTTCCTCATAATATCTCCATTTTTACTCTGCCAAGCATGCCCCCTCCCATACTAATACTTGCTTTCAAATCATGAACTATCTTTCATTGGAAATTGAACATGAATAAATAGGTCACCCCTCTCATAAGCATTTACATGTTAAATTTGTCTCTCCATGTCACATGGAAGCTTTTACCCCTAGTGAAACATGTATATATATATATATACACACATATACATATGTGTGTGTGTATATATATATATATATGTATATATATATAGTACATTAGCAAGATACACAGGATGACAGTAAAAGCAGAGACCCTTCTCATGTCCCTACAGAATCACACCATAGAAGTGGCTGAGGAAGTCTCCGTTATGATAAAACAAGGGTTAGACTAGACCAGGTCTTAATGAGAGCAGATGTCATCTGTAAGGAAGGAATGAGCAAGCGCCTGAAGGAAAATAAATGATGATGTAAAGAAGGCTTGTCTTCAGTGCTCCCCCTGCTCCATTTCTCTTTAGAGATCAGTCTCCCTGACTTGGAACCTCAAACCCCATACGCTGTCCTTGGGTAACCGTCTAGCCCTTCACCTGCAGGCAACCATCATTCTCCAGGCTATTCCGCACGTGCTTTTCCTCTTAATCAAAATGTATTCATTCTGCGTCCCATTGTACCAATGTGCTTTCCATGCTAGGCCACATGAACTCTAACTTGATCACCACTGTTGTTAATAGGATTCCAGGATTTAAGATGAGAGAGTATCTTAAACGAGATAGGGAGTCTCACATTGGGAATATCGACTTTTAGGAGAGCAGGAAGATATTTGGTGAGGAAGCTTATAGAAAAGAAGCTGGAAGTATCCTTGAGGCCGTCTGTAAGTATTTTCTGTATGTTCTCATGCTGCTGGGTCAGGCCTTGTGGGGGATATAGACAACTCAACATGACCATGGCCTCAAGGAATTTGCCGTTAAGCAGGGTGGGATGGGGAATCTAGGATTCCAAGCACGTGCATCCACCACTTTAAATAACGGTATTTTATTATGGTAGGTATTATCATATGACTTCAAGGCTCAGAAAAGTCAACTATTTTCCCCAAGTTCTATATAAATTGTGAGTGTGGAGTCAGGATTTGGATTCACATCTGGTTGGCTTTTGAAGCTTATGCTCTTCCAGCATTCCGTACTCTTATGGAAACAGAAGCCGAGAGGAGAGATAAAGGAGAGAGGGTTGGGATGCTGTGTAGGACTGATGTGGCCTGCGATTGGAGGTGGGGGAAGGGGTGGTGGTTAAATAATATAAGTAGCCCAGGGTCTGAGAAGGAAGAAGACACTTTTTAGGAGAACTAGGAAGTGGTGTTCCAATAAGTTCTGAAGCCATGAAGAACAACATATTTATTCCATAGTAGCTGAAAGAAGGAGGTATTTCCAGGTAGAGTTTAAGGAGAGGCTTAGGAGTAGGAAGAAAAGTGTGCTGGCGGCCAAAGCCAGGGACTTGATTCAGGAAATGAAAATTATTCCTTGGGGGCCCCCTTCTCTTTTGCCTCATCCTAATTCAACGGAGGAAGGGAGACCCAACGCAGGAGAGGGTTCCCTCTTGGGGACAGGAACTGAGCAAACCCAGCTTCCTCACAGGCCTGCCAGAGCCACAGCCTCAGGAGGGTGTTCAGGGCTGCGAACTTCTCAGAAGTCCCCAATGGCACAGGTTGTCAACTTCCGGGGGGATGGTGAGGGAGCCAGGTGGTTGTGTTTTCTTTTGGAAATCCTGGCCAGTTTCCATTTACATAACACAGCTTAACCCACAGGGGCAGGAGCCAGGAGGCAGGTTCTGTCCCTTTTTTTCCTCTCCGAGACACGGAAACCTTTATTTTCTCCCCATAGCGCAAACCAGTGCTGTTAAATAATATTGGATAATTGCACCTGTCGTCCTCCCCATATTGTGTTGAGGAAAAATAATTGCTGGTTTTCTGCCTTGCAGTTTAGCTGTGACTCTGTCATTTGACTCCGAGCATGTCATTTTCTCCCATTTTAGACTGTGTATAGTCAAGCTCTATGAAAGGACTCACCGATAGCGGCCCCGCGTGTGTGAGTGGGCGCAGGCCTCATTCAGCAACGATTTCTAATTTATACAGCATTGAAAATCCACAGCTATAAATAAACAGTTCTGGCTGGCTTTGCTGCCTACTCAAATGCTTTATTAAAAAAAAAAAAAAAAAAAAAAAAGAACTGCCAACTGCATGAGAAAGGAGAGCAATGTCTGGATGTGGATTCTAGTTTCTGACTCTTGGCCCTCTGAGGGGACACACCAGGCTAGGGATGGGAGACCTGGCCTCACCTCGCTCCTTCCTCGACCCTCCTCGTTCCCCCCCGCCCCCCGCCCCACACACACTCCCCATGTGCAGGCGTAACGTGTTTGGGGATTATTATAGTATATGAAACTGACTTCCTGTTATGACAAGTATGGCGAGGAGGTGCAGAGGAGCTGGAAATAGCTTGAGAAATGTATGACTCTTTTGGGAGGTGGGTGGGTAGAGCTAATGTTTTGTTTAGGTAAACAAGATAAATCTCCCCAAATTCAAAATTCATGTCACATGTGAGACAGGCCTCCAGAACATGCATAGGGGGATGGAGCAGTGAGGTCCCTGAGGCAGGGGGGCCGCTCCTCCCTCTACCTGCATGCATGGGTGAGAGTTTCCACCAAGTTGGGGACCCCTGATCTTTTTTTATTTGTCCAGCCTTGCAGATATAGATACATTTTTGCTTTTTTAAATAAAGGCTTTCAGATGACCATTTATTGCTTTGCTCTGTGATAAAAAGGAAGGTTGGCTCAGGAATCAACCATCTTTGTGGCCTTGGCCCAGTCTTTTCCCTTCTCTGAACCTAGTGCTGAACTGGAGTCAGCTTGTACAGGCTTACAAGGACCAAGCGTTGGTTCATATCTCTTCCCAACTCTGCATTCAGTGACCTGTTGGTAGCTTGAAAAAGGCCATGGTAGAGTATTTACACCAGGAAAATGGGCAAACACTATTAAAAAAAAAAACCTTAAAATTTTTTCCAGATAGTTGTGGTTTTTTTTCTTCTTTAAGAATAGTTGATTGATTTTTAGAAAAAGAGGAAGGAAGAGGGAGAGAGACATTGATGTGAGAGCACAACATCAATCGGCTGCCTCCTGCATACCCACCACTGGAGATGAGGCCCGAAACCCCTGGCATATGCCCTTGACTGGGAATCAAACTGGCAACCTCCTGGTGCACAGGACAATAGCCAACCAACTGAGCCACACTAGCCAGGGCTAGAAAGTTGATTTTAAAACATTTATCAGGATACCAATATCAGAAACTCAGTATATTCACTTGTAAAATGAGAACAATAATGCATTTTCTACTTAAGATTTTTGTGAGGATAAAATGAGATCATGGAGGTGATGTGGTTGTAAATTACATGACATGATACAAATATTATTGCTGGATACATGCACCCCTTTGTTCATAGCAGCACAATTTACAATAGCTAAGATTTGGAAACAGCCTAAATGCCCATCAGCAGATGAGTGGATTAGAAAACTGTGGTACATCTACACAATGGAATACTACACAGCAATAAAAAAGAAGGAATTCTTACTATTTGCAACAGCATGGATGGAACTGGAGAGTATTATGCCAAGTGAAATAAGCCAGTCAGTGAAAGATAAATACCACATGATCTCACTCATTTGTGGATACTAAAGAACATTATAAACTGATGAACAAAAAATAGATACAGAGGCAAAGAAGCACCAAAGAGACTGTCAAACTACAGCAGGAGGGCAGGGGAGGGTTGGAGGTGGGTGGTAAGAGATCAACCAAAGGACTTGTATGCATGCATATAAGCATAACCAATGGATACAAGATACTGGGACGTGGGGGTGAAGGCATGTGCTGGGGGATAGGGAAGACCAGGGGGAAGGTCAATGGGCGGGGGGAAGAGACATATGTACTACTATTTGTAATCCTTTAAACAATAAAATAAAATTTAAAAAAATATTATTGCTGGTATGTAATCATTTGTATGTTTTTTACACACTAATAGCTTAACACAGCCTGATATGGGCACTGCATACCCTTTAATGAATGTTTAATCAGTGTTCTTCATGGGTGTTTTGTTGCTTCTCTTTTTCAAAGCTACAGTAGTACCAAGGAAGCATTGTGTGCTCAATGGGAAATGAATCTGAGGTAGTTCTGGTGTTGGAATAGATACTGCACAATGGCCAGTCATGTAGCAATCAAGGCTTAATTTGGTCCTAGGGACAGTAAAGCCACAAATAGAAATCTGCAGGCTCATTCTAGCCAAGAGCTTACTATGACTGTGAGAAGTATGCAGCCAGAGTCATCTTTAGGGTGTGGAAAATTTGGGTGATCCCCTGCAGGCTTCAGATTTGGGGAATTTCCACTGTGACAACTGCTCTGGGCTCCTGCTGAGACCAGGTGCTTGGAGCAGTCAAGAAGCAGCAGGTACCAGAAAAGAGGGGCTGTCCCAGCTCAATCCAGAAGGACTTGAGGCTCCTATTTATATGAGAGTAGAGGAGTAGGGATCAGGCAGGTTTACTGGTGTCTGTCCTAGTCTTCCCTTCTACTGCTGCCTTACTGTATAGTCTGCTCTCTTCCCTAACCCTGCAAGACCACTCTAGGTATTTTTGGGGTATTTCTGGAGTTGGAACAGATATTGCACAGTGGTCAGTTATGTAGCAATCAAGATTTAATTTGGTCCTAGCCACAGTGTTACCAGGTTTTACCCATTTTTACCAAATTTCTCCTGTATCGTGTTTGGTTGGGAAGCTCAAGTACAATTTATTCTGGTGCGCACACCCCAACGCCCCTGGGCCTTTGACACACCAATAAACTTGACTATCTTTACCCACCACATATTTCTTTACAAAAACAGACCTGGAAAATTCCATTAGGAAAATCGAAGCAGGGTTCATGAATGTGCTTGCTGACAATCAGCTTTGATAAATCATAAACTAACTTAGCAAAGTACTTTGTACCAAAGCAATCTCAGCAGTCCTCATAATCATATCACTTCCCACTTAGACTGTTCCCCAAGTAAAATGTACAACATTTATTTGACAAGTTAATCAATGCTTGAACGGAAGAGATTTTGACAATGTCATTATGTTCAGTGTTTATACTTGCCCTGGATGCTTGCTCACAAGGGGGAAAGGTTTCCTAATATTTTTATAACTGATTTTCTCATTTCCCCAAATAATTTGCCATTATACCATACCAGGTAGAATCTCCCTACACTTCTGTCTAGATTGAGGGGGAAAAATAGATGAGAAATCCATGAAAATAACTAGCTTATGAAAATGCTTGTTTTTAGGAAAGTTGGGATTATTAAAAACATGGCACAGGATTGGAAATTAAAAGATCTGGGAGACAAAAGCTCCTGGCTTAGTTCTGACATGAACTCTTTGGCCTCATGAAGGTAACTTCTCACCTACATTCTCGGCAACCTCTTCTGTAAAGTGAAGATGTTGAATGATCCGAACTTCTTTCTCTGTCTAAACATTCTCTAACTCTGAGTTTATGAGGGGTTTTTTGTGTGTGTGTTTTTTTGTTTTGGGGGGAGGGGGGTTATGGTCAGATTTTGACCACAGACAATACTCTTCAGAGTTCAGACAAAGGTCACAAATTCTGAGACAGCAGGATTTAATTTTGCATGGCCTTTTAAAACCCAAAAGTCCTCAAATTGAGCTACCTGCATAACCCTATTTTTAATTTAAATATTGTTTCCTGTCCTTTTTACTTTCTTATGTTTCTCCACCACCTCCCCACACCAAACAAACAAACAGACAAACAAAAAACCCAAAAGATGGGAAAAGAACACCCTCTTGTGTTTTCTTCCTTTTCAGTTTTTGGAAAACAGCATATAATCACTTCTTCTTCTTTGGCTGCCTCATGTCACCTGTGCAAACAAGAACAGAGAGAGATTTCAGAGTTTCCCTGTAGGTTGAAATTCACCCTGATTTCAGGCAGTGGAAAGTCAAGGACTTTTCCCAAGGCAAAAGGATGTCCTTCAAGGAGTTCTAAAAAAAATACCACCACTATCACAACAGCAAGAAACCACTCTGCTGTCCCCTGTTGGTGCTTAGCTCACAGCCAGCCAGTTGACCAATGATGCCCTTGGACTTCATGTGGTTCTATATATCTAACTTGAGCCACTGATTGCTGTTGCTTTTGGCCACTTGTTCGCAGGGCTGTACACAATCCATCAACAAACTTGGAGACTTTGCATATGGAGACAAAGAGACCATATCAAATTAGAGAGGAAATAAAAGAGTGGATATTCACCTAATTAGGGGTCATTCTGTGACCTCTCACTAAATCAACTTATCAGCCTGGGAATAAAAGTACTTGCATATTGATTAGTTTTTAATAAGCTCATTAAAGGGTCTTTATTCAGCTGAAATTATAGCCTTAGACTACTAGAATGACTTCCATTCACCCAACAAGTTGTTACCTCCATATGTAATGATCATAAATCTTTGCATAAGCTTTGAAACTTTACTAACTCATTATCTTGTCTATTGGCAAATGCTACCAATCCTACTTTGAAAATTTTTTCAACTCAGTCTCCTTCTGGAAGTTAGAGCCCTGTTCGATCTGGGTCTGTAGGACCACAGCAGCCTCATGCTCCTAATTTCAGACTTTAGTTTTTAAACCATGACTCCCCTCACCCCCTTAAATTATATCCCTAACAGTAACCTCTAAATCTTTTCCTAATTTATGTCACTGGAACTCCTCTTCTCAGAGGCTTTAGTGACTGATAACTTGAAGTCCTGCTGTGACCCAGTCATCACACTGATTTTCTAGGACAGCCAGCTCCTAATCACAACAGCTCTCATGGCCATCGTGCATTCATGTCTCTCTACATTCTTAAGGACAGTCCTCGTCCTTGTTCTTGTCATCCTCATTAGTTCAAACCACTTCCAGTCACTCCAGCAAAGCCTTACAAATTTATCCAGCTTTACAGGGTTCATGTTCTTTTCATTTATGCTTCTACTTATTATTTATTTTTTATGTAAATTTTCTCCTCCCCAATTAGGTCATCTATATTAGGTCTATAAGTACAAACACCATCTCTTTTCTGAAGTACATACTTTGGGCCGTTAATGAATAATTTTTTCAGCTAAATAACACATTTATTTCCTCACGTTCAAGAGCTTGGCCAATATAAACTTTTCAAATTTGTTTCCCTTGTAGTCATTCTGAGGGCTCCTAAAGCTTTCATTTCCCATGTTGTTTACCAACCCCCAGTGCTTTGAGTCTAACTATAATCATAACCTCACTCCTTCAACCCCAGGTACCAAGGATTGGAGACTCCACCTCCATTTAAGAAACACACAGAACATGAAGGCTTAGAGAGACGCAGCAGAAGCAGGAGTGGAAATAGTGGTGGGAATTCCTCTGGGGGAAGAGAGCAGGTGGCTCCTTCCACTGGACCAGAGTCTCCCAAATCCAACTCCAAGCAGCTGGATGGAGCACAAAGGAATTCTCACAAACCCACCACTGTGCTAGAGAAGGCACGGGCCCCAAAAGTGTGGAGTTCCAGTAGTCATTTCATTCTGTAGAGACTTACATGATGTGAATATAACAGAAACAATGTTTTCTTTTTGTTTCTACAAGTAAGGGTGGGCCCTTAGTCTTGCATTCTCATGGGGCTGAGCAGTTTCTAGGCTTCTTCAGAATTCCTCTCTTACCATGTTTCCATAGTGCCAGAGATAAGGAGACTGTTGACTTAATAATAGATCATATAATCTTACCCAAACAAAGTTCACAAAATGGATTTCAAACTTTGAATTCCCAACATAATTGGGAAATTACGTTGTTTGTTATCACCCTTTTCTTCATTGATGGGAGTTTTCTGAGTGGAGCAGTTCCTAGTTGGCAGTTAGGGAGTTAGGTCCAGTCCTGACTTTAGTCCTTTCTTTACCCTCATTAGATAGTACCAAGGAGTGGAGATATTTTAGGCCAAACATTTAATGTTCTTCTTCTGCAAGATCCAAACATTTTCTACTGGCATGGGAAAGGAACCATTCTTTTAGTAAATATCACTATGGGTAGTATATGTAATTATACATCTTATTATTCCAGTAGTCAGGACATTGGCTAAGTAAAAATAATACTGTTGACAAAGATTTACACCTATGTATCTACAACCACAAAAGCTACTGCTAGACTTCAAATTGAACATTCGAAGAATATTTGCCTAGTTTCAGTAGGTTGGCTTGGAAAAGGGCAAGAAGGCAGATGGTTAGGGGGATATGAGGTGTTAGGGGAATGAGATTTGAGCACCAAGGATTACCATCACAGTGCAAAAGTAGCAGGAAGCAGGTGGAGCTGAGGACTGGCTGGAGAGACTTTAAACGTAAGGAGGCAGAGGAAGAGGGATAAGGAATAGTCTAGAGTGGACTGCTTAGGGAGAATAAGTTAGAACAAGAAAGACAAAAAAAGCTTTAGAAATACCTAAAGAGTAATCTCATGATAATATCCTTTTGTTATGAAATGATCAGGGACAACATGCAAGGCAGACTTTATAAATGATTTCTTCATGGATAAAACCAAGAAGGTAGACTATATGGCCTTTAAACAGCTTTTATCAATGAAAATCTCCTTTAAAAACAAACAAAAACCCCCACAAATTGCTCAAGAGCAAATAGTATTAAAGAAAGGTTTTAATGTCATTCTGCCCAAGACACCATCACCATGTCACTTGGCCAGATTGGAATTTTCAGCTCCTAAACCAGCCGTGGGCAAACTACGGCCCGTTTGAAATGAATAAAACTAAAAAAGAAAAAGAAGACCGTACCCTTTTATGTAATGATGTTTACTTTGAATTTATATTAGTTCACACAAACACTCCATCCATGCTTTTGTTCCGGCCCTCCGGTCCAGTTTAAGAACCCATTGTGGCCCTCAAGTCAAAAAGTTTGCCCACCCCTGTGACCTAAACTATACTTAGAAGGGAAAGGATCTGTGGTCTCAGGCCTTGGAACATATCCCTCAAGGATGTAAGGAGCATGGTCATGGGCTTCCAAGCCAAAATGGCAGGTCTCCCATATGTAATGGGTGTGGCCAGAGCGGCAGCCAGCTTATTGTCCAGGACTCCCAACTGGGCCATACTGGGCCTCAGGATTTCAGAAGCAGAGATTCCAACAATTCTAGCTTGAATTAGCTTGATCTCCTATTTCACTCATTAAGTTCTTCAGGAACTGCACCATTCCTGTCAATTTGCATTCAGTGAGGTGGTTGTTACTTTTAATTGTGTTGGCTGGGGAAATAGGTAATTTATGAAAAAAATAGAAGGGGAGGATTGGAACATCTACATAGACAAGAAGGTTTCTGATTTTTGCTGGAGGAGAATGAGATTAACAGCAATAGTGACCAACTCTATGTGCCAGGCCCTGTTCTTGGCCCTTGACACTACCCAAGCCATTTAGAGTTCTCCAGGATCCTAGGAGGTGGGTACTAATATTCTCTCCACGATGCTCAAGAGAAAACTGAAATAAAAAGACATCAAGTCTTTTTGCAGTGTCACAGGTCTGTGAGTGGTAAGAACAAAATAGGAACCCAGGCAGCCTAGGCAGAACTTTTCCCTAACCAGTGCTTCCCACCACGTCACCAATGCACTCCTTTGAATTTCTGTTCTCATTCAAGGATTCTCAGACTGTGAAAGGAGGTGAGAAAGTAGGGTTAGCCCTGGATTTGGACAGAGTAGGTGGCTACTTAGGAAGTGTTCCCATAGATCCAGAACAGAAGGTTTGGAGAGGAACCCAAGTTAGAGGATCCACACAATTGACTATCCAAGCCTAGACAATGCTATACTATGTGGCCATTGGCACAGCAGGCATTAACCAGAACCCAACTGAGATGTGCAGCTGCCCTCATTAGAGGTCATATAATGGTATTGACACAAGTCATATAGTAGAGGGAAGCCTTAGAGTGTTTTAAGCCCACTAGGACCTGGGAACATGTGTTTGTACAGATAGCTCTGTTTAGTTTTATACAATTTAAAAGTGTTCACTGCCATTGGAATTTTAAGTGATCTACTCTTTTAATGTCTATTCAACCATTTGTAATTAAGATCTGTTCTGAATTTAACACATTACGATCCTATTCTGATGCCATCTAGCATGAATGAGTTTTCACTCATTTGATTTTTAAGGGGTTAAAATCTAGAGAGAGGAGAGACGCAGTAGTCTCTATCCATTTACAATAGTTTATCCCTCATATAAACATTCACATATGCACATGTAAATGAAGGCCCACATGGTGATGCTGGCCTGTTTGCTCATTGGGACCTAATTGTAGTGAAAAATTGGAGATAGTACTTAAACAACAAGGCTTATTAAAAAGAGCTTGGTGTTGAAAATAATGACTCAATAATATCAAATATTGTGAAAATTTCGTTTTTAATTCAATGCATGTTTCAAAGTGACTGTTTAAAAATTTAAAAATTAATTGTTATTGAACTAAATGCATTTGATTAAAAAAGTTATTGTTCTCTAAGCTCAATATTTTTTTTATCTGCACATTTTTATCTGCCAAATTTTAGATGGGCTTTTTTCTTTCTTTCTTCCTTCCTTTCTTTCTTCCTTTCTTTTCTTTTCTTTTCTTTTATAAAGATAGATTGGGAAAGGCATCAGAAATCTTTATCCTGATTTTCAAGGAGCCAAAATAAGTTCGAATTAGCTATCAACAAATTTGAAATGTCAACATATTTTTTTTCCTGGAGTTTCCTGTAATTTGGAGTCCTGCTTTTGGAATTAATTTTTAGTATTCCATTTTTTAAGTGCTTTCAAGGAGATTATTACCTTTGGGAGTTTCTTAACCAGTTAAATTCTTCACAAGTAGAAAACATGTGAAAAAGACAAATTGCTTATCCAGGATCCCAATAGCATCTCAGAAACATACTCTTTTGTACTGAGCCTTCTGAAACTGCTGTGGCTTTTTTTCATACATGGCTGATGTTTTCACACCAGTTCATAAATTGGGTGGAAGATGCCACTTCTATTTTGATAGAACAGAATGGCATGTGGGTGTGTGACGTGGGGGACTGTTTGTGACTCTTTCCTTCCTTACATACAAAATCAGGGTAGAGTGCCCGTACTTCTCTTTGGGTAGGAAAAAAATCATGGGTATTGTGCAATTTGACTTTTTGGTGGTGAATTTTCCAACAAAATAATATTTTGGGCATTGGGGTGGTGGGAGAAGCAGGGAGGAGAATTAAACTTTCCATTTTAAAATCAACTAAGTTAAGATTATTTTTTCTTATGAAGAAGCAACATGGTTCTACCCACCTATAATTAGAAAGCTTAGCTTGCTGACATATTCACATTGCTCAAGACCCTGTCTAAATGAGAATTTCAATCTCAAGTACAGGATGTGATCTTATCTGGTAAATGCTTCACTAAAGGTTGAAAAGCAACCTAATGGGAAAGGGATGGGAACTCATCCTGGAAGGCACGCTGAGGTTGGAAGAGCTTAAAGGGTCATTTCCTTCAAACCAAACCAAAGCAAAACAAACAACAAAAAACCTTGACATTTAAACATATTGTATCTTTCAAGCCCTTACCTAAGGGAGGAAGACCCTGAATCCATTTTTCATGCCAGGCATGGTGACACCTTGCTCTCTGGGTCCTAAATTCTCTAAAGATAATTTCTAGCCTTAAAATTTATGGGAGGAGGGGAGATAATTTGGTGGGGTTCTTTGAGGAAGTATGAACTTCCCCCAGGCTTTTCCTTTGCTTATCTTTTTTAAAAAAATATATTTTATTGATTTTTTACAGAGAGGAAGGGAGAGGGATAGAGTTTGAAACATTGATGAGAGAGAAACATCGATCAGCTGCCTCCTGCACAAACCCCCAGTGGGGATGTGCCTGCAACCAAGGTACATGCCCTTGACCGGAATCGAACCCGGGACCCTTCAGTCCGTAGGCCGACGCTCTATCCACTGAGCCAAACCTGTCAGGGCTCCTTTGCTTATCTTGATAAGACCCATCTGAGTCTTTGGCAAAGTCATCAAGGTCACTGCTTTCTGCTTTGAACTAGTTTCTCTTGTTTCTAGGAGGAATGAAGGGAGGGCAAGGAAGAAGAGTGCAGGTAAAATAGAAATAAACTGACCCCATTGGCAGTGGTTGAGCTTCTCTCCAAGTAGGTAGATGCTGGCAATAAAGATGTAGCTGAGAGAGAAGAAGGCTGCTAGACCCACTGGGCTGAGTTTGGCAAACACAGGATACACCCACGTACCAGTCGCAGAGTAGATCCATAGGACCCTGCAGAAAATGACAAGCCACAATGATTAGGACAATAGGAAGAAAAACTAACTTTCTTTCTTTCTTTCTTTCTTTCTTTCTTCTTTCTTTCTTCCTTCCTTCCTTCCTTCCTTCCTTCCTTCCTTCCTTCCTTCCTTCCTTCCTTCCTTCCTTCCTTCCTTCCTTCCTTCCTTCCTTCCTTCCTTCCTTCCTTCCTTCCTTCCTTCCTTCCTTCCTTCCTTCCTTTCTTTCTTTCTTTCTTTCTTTCTTTCTTCTTTCTTTCTTTCTTTCTTTCTTTCATTTTCTTTAGTGATTAAGGTATTACATATGGGTCCTTAACCCCCCATTGTCCCTCCCTATCTCCCCGCTTATGCCCTAACTCCCCTAGTGTCTGTGTCCATTGGTTATGCTTATATGCATTCATACAAGTCCTTTGGTTGATCTCTCCCTTCCCCCCACCCTCCCCTGCCTTCCCTCTGAGGTTTTATGGTCTGATCTATGCTTCTCTGTCTCTGGATCTGTTTTTGCTCATCAGTTTCTATTGTTCATTATCAATGAATACTAGAGCCCAGGCAAACAAAAAGAACTCATGGGGGATATTTTCCAATAGCTCAGGTGTTCCTAAAACCTACAAAAGTGAGTCTTTTCTAGATAGACTTGATTCAATGAGACGTCCTATTTCATGGGCTGGGCTTGGCTATTTTACCTAATCTATCAAATTCAATGATGGTGAAAAATATGGGAAGACATTGAATACATCATTAGTCAAAGACAATATGGGAGAATATGAGTCATTTTTTTTTCCCTGAGAGGTATAGTCTGCTGAAAATTTGAGCCTACTAAGATGGCACCCATTTGCTGGCTCTCAGCCAGACAGGTGGGCTTTGTATTTCTGTACTTGAGTGACGTGTAGCTTTCTATTAGCTCTCCAAGTCTTTTGAGGTAGGAGGGACAGAGACTGAACATTATTACTCTAACACAATATGCCTGGGGTTTCATTGTCAGCCCTGATTTTACCTCCTGGATATAGCCATGGATAGAGTGTTAAGTAGGAATGGATGGAATTACAGGAGGCTCAGATCTTGCTCAAGTGAGGATAGAATATAAATCATTTCTGTAAGCCAAGAGAGGGAAAAAAATGCTAGGAGGGCAAGATACAATGTCTTAAGTGAAGCCTGAAAATGCAGTTCTCTGAAAATCAACTACACTGGAAGATGCCAAAGTCTGAAATAACTCTTAAAATTAAATATGGGGAGGTTGCCCTCTTAGCGCAGTAGGCAGTGCGTCAGTCTCATAAAATTAAATATGGGGAAGATGATGCATCAGCTACAGTATTTAAGTGGTTAAAGTACAGAATCTGGAACCAGGCTTCCATGATTCAAATCCTATTTTCGCCACCTATTAGTCACATTGCCTTCAACAATTTATTCAACCTCAAAACTTGAAGTTTGTCAAATGCGTGTGGATGAGACAAGAACTAATATCAAGGCCAAGACTAGGATGAGGCAAGGGAGGTACCCATGGTATTAAATTTCAGGGGCCATCTCTGTGCATCAAAGGGCACAGCAGAGTGAAAATGGAACTATGGAATGGGGAAAATGTTGGCAAATCATATATCTGATAAGGAATTAATATCCAGAATATATAAAAAAAACTACAACTCAACAAACAACCTAATTAAAAATGGACATGGGATTTGAATAGATACTTCTCCAAAAAAGATATGTAAATGGCTAACAATCACATGAAAAGATTTGCATTTCCCAATAACATTATTAATCATTTGGGAAATGCAAATCAAAACTGCAATGAGATACCACTTCACACCCATTAGAATGGCTACTATCAAAACAGCAGAAAATATTAAGTGTTGTAGAGGATGTGGAGAAGCTAGAACCCTTGTGCACTATTGATGAGTATGCAAAATGGTATAACTGCTGTGGAAAACAATATGATAGCTGCTCAAAAAATTAAACATAGATTTACTGTATGATCCAGCAATTCCACTTCTGGGTATATACCCAAAAGAATTGAAAGCAAGGACTCAAATTGATACTTGTACACTTATGCTTCTAGCAGTATTACTCACAACAGCTAGAATAAAGAAGCAACCCAGGAGTCCAACTATGGACAGATAAATGAAATGTGGCATATTTACACACAATGGAATATTATTTGGCCTTGAGAAGGAAGGAGATTCTGACACATCCTATAACATGAATGAACCTTGAGAATATTAAGTGAAATAAGCCAGTCACAAAAGGACAAATATTGTATGATTCCACTTATGAGGTACCTAAAGTCATAAATTCATAGAGACACAAAGCAGAATGGTGGTTGCCAGAGGCTGGTTGGGGGAGGGGGAAATGGAGAGTTACTGTTTAATGGGGACAGAATTTTCAGTTTGGGAAGAAAAAAGTTCTGGAGATGGATGGTGGTGATGGCTGCACAACAAGGAGAATGTACTTGATGCCACCAAACTATATACATAAAAATGGTTAAAAATGAAAAATTTTATGTTATGTGTATTTTACCACAATAAAAAGAAAATTTTAAAGAAGGCATCAGGCCTGGCAGTGTGGCTCAGTAGCTGAGCATCAACCTATGAACCAGGAGGTCATGGTTCGATTCCTGGAGGAAAGGAGTGCTGTGAATATCCTTCTAAAACACATGTCAATGGGATGCACATTCACAGGATTCCACTGTTGGAAGGTGTAAGGGGCAAGAAGTAGGTAGCCCCATGGAACTAGGGTTAGGAGTTTGGGCTCAATAGGACATCTGAATATATTCTAATCATTAGAATTAGTTCACTTTGTTTACTTTATATACTTGAAATTTGGGCTTCCTAGTTCCCATGCACATTTACATAAGATAGTCTACAAACAAGGACATTACCCTACAGGCCTGGAAAGTTTCTCTTTATTTACTTCATTTTTGTTTCCTTCAGCATAAAGTTCTGGAAGGAAAGTTTCTGAAGTAAGATAAGGAAGTCTGTACTTTCACAGAAAAAGCACAAAGAAAGTTATAGGTGTATTAACTGACAGTGAGAAAAGTAATGAGAACACAAATAGAATATTAGGCAAGAATGCAGTTGTTTAAGGAAGGGCAGTGAGCAGAGAGGCCTGAGTGAGGAGATGTCACTCATTTGATATTGCTTCTTTATGGCTTGCCTGAATATATGTTCAAAGGAGAGAGAGGGAGAGAGAAATGGAGATGGAGAAAAGCTGGGAGAGAACCGGAAGAGGGGGAGAGGAGGAGGGGCATAAGAGAGAAGAGGAACTGAGAGTAGATCAATACATGAACTGGCCAGCAGGCAGCCTCTCAGTGAAGCGAAAAAAAAATAATTCTAACATTATGGAGAAGAAGGGAGGGAGGGAGGGAGGGAGAAAGGAAGGGAGGGAGGAAGAACTAGCTTAGCAGGTCCAAAACTGAATGTCATTGTTCTCTATCTCAGTTAGTGTCAGTTTTTCCTGAGCCCCAGGTTCGATCCCATCAAATCACATCTAAATGTTTCTCCAGTGCACTCATTTCATGATTTCAGTCTAGGCTCCTTCATCCCACCTGGGTTTCTGTAATTGTCTACTCACTGTGCTTTCTTGCTCCTTTTAATTCACTTTCCACACCCTAGGCCACCAGTAATCCAAAACTCTTTCTAAAAGAGAGATGTGTTCATGGCACACCCCCGATTCCAGTGGATCCCTGCTGCTTTAGGAAAATATCCAAGCTCCTTCACCCAGCCTACCTGGCCTTGCCCTGCCTACCCATCCACTCTCAGATCTGCAGTCCATCCATATTGAATCTCTTTCTGTTTTATTATTATTATTATTATTATTTCTATTTTTTAAATTGATTTCAGAGAGACAGAGAGAGGAAAGATGGAAAGAAATATCAATGATGAGAGATGCTCTGCCTCGTGCACACCCCACATTGGGGATTGAATCTGCAACCCAGGCATGGACCTTGACTGGGAATAGAACCGTGACCTCCTGGATCATAAGTCAACAATCAACCACTGAGCCGTGCCAGAAGGGCCCTCTCTATTTCTTGAACTAACCAAGTTCTGCAGCTTCTAGACCTTTACCCGTGTGCTGTCTCTGCTTGGAACACCTCTGACCTTTTCACCTCCTGGGACATACTTCTCCTTGCTCTGGGTCTGGCTGAATCATACTCATGCCTCAAGGCTCAGCTTAAAATTCAATTTCTCTAGAAAAGATTTCCTGAATATCCTTTAACTCGCTTCTATTAGGTTCTTATGCCACATGCTTCCTCTACCATGAACTTAGCCGTTTTGCTTATTTCCCTCTTTCCCACCAGCCT